TTTCTACTCTTAATAAAACAATATACTATTGTTCGGAAATAGTCTTAAGTCGAGAACGAAATTAGTATTATCTAATGTCAAAGTGCAAAGTACTTACTGCAAATCAAAATGTCGGTAAGAATTTGGGAACATACCAACGTTTCAAAAAAAATATATATAAAATGACATATTTTCTGACAACGATTATAGATTTTCGGGAATGAAGATATAGTCTATATATCAGAAGAACCTATTTCTGCACTAGTCTGCGAATGATATGTATTCGAACAGCGAATTTTTGTCACTTATACATAAATTATAAATTTTAAAATAAATCCCTGCGTTTAGCCGTCTTATGGATTCACACGAAATTACTTCAAAAATCGCTTCAACATTTAAATTGACGAATAGATATTTTTATATAGTTTTATAAAATTTATAATAATTTTTCGATTTATTATCTGTTATATCTGTTATAGAAATATTTATTATAGTTTTCTAGGACAGATTTTTATAATTTTTACAGTTATTTTTTGATTTATTATAAAGTTTCAATAAAATTATTTTTTTGATTTAAATCACATGATTAAAATTAAAAAAATTACTTGATTTAAATCATGCCAACCCTGGTTAGAGGGCATCAAACTTTAAAAAATATAAAAATCTCGTTCAAATCGGAACATGGGTTCTTCATGGGTTCAAAGTATTTTAAAAAATGTGGTTATTTGTTTGAAAAAGACTCAAATTTTAAAAATTTTCAAAATGACATTAGTGGGTAATTTTAAAGTAGGTTAAAAGTTTTTTAACTTTTTCTACTGATTGAAAATTACTACCACTAATTTTGACTTTTTCAATGCTTAACCTTCATTCAGGACCTCGCAATTAGTGGAGGAAATTAGTGGTTTCAATTACACTTTACATTTTTAGTTTACGATCATTCACAATGTTTAAAAAAACAATTAAAATTAATAGAATATCCTGGCAATAGCTTGCGTTAGTCAGTTGTATCCATAGAGAAAGCCTAATATTTAGCTTATAAAACAATCAACTTTTGATTCCTAACCACAAATTCTCTTGACGGAACATAATCAAGGGCCAAAATTATATTTTTCGCAAATTTTGAAGTATTATTAGTGGAAAAGTTAAAAGTTTGATAACGTTTTCTACTAATTAAAAATAACTACCACTAATTTTGACGACCAAACCAAACCAAACTTTTACGCTAAGTGAAACCACTAACTTATTCCACAAAGTACGTGGTTCTGAATGAAGCTTTTCATTGAAATTTTAGGAACAAACTACGTTAATTGAACATTAATAACTACATTAATTGAAACCACTAATTTATTCCACTAATTCGTTAAATATCTTGATTTTAACTCATATTTTAATTGTAAAACAGGTCTTATCGGGTCGTTTTTTATTTTTCCTATAAATAAAGGCGTTCATTAACAAAATAAATTGAAATACTACAGTACAGTACATAAACCTCTAATATATTAGATCTGAGTAAGTTATTTATGTAGAAAAACGTAGAGATCGCATCTAAACGTTGTCGTAAATCTTACTCCGCATTTTAAAAATATTTCCATAGGTCATGCGATTCCCAGTCCAGACAAGAAAATAAAACAAGAAAGAACCCGGTACAATTAAATTACTTTTTCTAATAAATCACTTTTATCTAAAATCAAAAAGAAATGTTTTTTCAATCAAATTACTTCGATGTACCTTCTTTAAAATTCTGCTGAATGCAGCCAGTATGCCGTATAAAAAAATAGGTAATAAAACTTTGGGATTGTTTTTAATCTTCGCAAATTATTTTCAGTCGATATTTGAAATATTAATACTGTTTTATTGACTTTTCCGCATTTTATAACTTAGTTTCGTTTAGAAAAGTGTATTTGATTGTGGAAGAAATAGAGGTGATGTAAGAAGTTTTATAGTTCTACGTGGTTTTGTTACAAGTATTAAAGAAATCAAGAAAAAAGTGTAATATCAAAGGGGAATAAGAATAATGGATGAATGGAAGGATGAGAATAAGAAGTAGAAAATGACTGAAGTGGACAATCAGATTAAAAAAAATCTGTTTGCACCTTAGACAAGGATAGTGAGGGTACAGCTAACACGCATATTCTTCAGTAAAAAAATTTTGAGGCCAAAATTTGATCGGCGGCCATACTTTGGTGACAAGGTTTCGAGTTGACATCAAGCGAATTTTTATGTTTTTTGTGAATACTGTTTTGTTTTAAATTTATAAACTGTGTTGTTTAGTATGGTGAGATGTTCGGCGTATGGCTGCAAAGGCTGAAGCGAGAAAAAAATGACTGGAATTACATTTTACAGGTAAAAGTTGATACACAACTTGTGCTATGTAGTCATAAAATGTACATTTTTTTCATTATAGCGGTAAAAATATGTAAAATGCTTTTAATATGTCTTGTACCACATCCAAAGCAAACTATTTTTATTCATTCCAAGTAGTATTTTCAATATCCTATATTATAATTAATGTTTGAAACTATAAATAATGCTACTCAGACACGATTTCTCCAGTGGCGTAGGGTATTATAATCAGAGAAATACAATTTCTGCAATAAACATTTTTTTATATATTTTACATGTTAAAAAAATGTATAAAGTATTGTTATCAAATATGTAAAGTAATAATTGTAAACTATAAAAGAAACATGAAAAATTTTGGTTATAAAAAATCTATATGTATAGTTGTTACATAAAACTTAAATTTACCTGCCAAAAAATTTGCTGGGGGTGGACAAACTTGTGGTGGGCTACTTGTTACAATATTTTTTTAAATATTCTTTCAAAAAATTTGCTAGTTTAGGTGTATAATAATAATTTCAGTGAGTAATTAATAAAATTTAAAAATAAATAAATAAAATAACACAAAGCTTCTAGAATAATTGTTTATTTTTTTTTGCGGAAAATTTTATCTAACTTGTTCAGCGCCTCTATTCATTCTTTGACGAACTTGGAAATAATGTTTACTTAGTTGATCCCTCTTAAAGCTGCTTGACTGTCGGATAAGATGGCTAAGTATTTGATATGTGCACAATCTGTCGCAAATACTTTGGTTGAACCCGCTAAATAGCTTTAATATGTCTTTTATTGGACAACCGGGTCTGACAATTATTGACGTTATTACGTAGAACCGGAAGTACTGCAGACTGTACTACAATTAAAACTGTTCCAAAAACAATGTTGCTGGTACAGAAGAGAGATATTTGCTTTCTCTCTTTTTTTTGCTTTCTCCAGGACAAAAAAGCTCACAGATAAAATAATATAATCTATAAAGCAGGAGAAGAGTACTGAACTGATTGTATATCTCGATTAATCTAAAGTACCGAAAATAAAGCCTTCTATAAGAACCTTAATTAAACGTTCGGTTTTAATTAAACGCGGAGAAGCAAGCGCGCGGTCGTTCTCGTGTGCCTCTGGCTGCATCGGACGACGTCAACGTCGTCGGTGCACCGACGCCATCAAACTTTCAGCAGGACGCCTCGCCGACCGCGTCCCACGTCCTGCCTCGGACAGACCGGACGTGTCCGGACTAATGCCTCCCGGGCTTTAAATAATTTGGCAGACGGGAAGCGCCCGGATCGAGCGCTAATCCCGTTTAATAACTGCGGTCCTGGTGCGAAGTGCGGAATTCTGTCTTCATTGTCTCATCTCTGTGTCTTGACATTTTTTTATATTGGAGATTTATTTTTCCGTTATTTAATTGCATTTTACTTTGAGAAATGATTTATTTTTTCTTCTCCTTTTTTGTTTTCTTATAATTGATTTATATTTTCTTGTCATTGGTCGTAATTTCCAAGCCAACTGGACACCGTTTTTTTTTCGATCGTACGGTATTATCGCTATTAAGTTTCAAAAATTTACCAAATGGTGTTTTTATGTATATTATTTCATTCTTGAAGTTTTATTCATTGTTGATTTTGTAATTTTACTTATATTTTCCGTTTCACTTTGGACGTAATACGTATACTAACACGGTACACTTTTATTAACGGTACATTATACAGGGTGGTCCGAACTGTAACTGTATTCCGGAGACTTCGGCAGTATATTCTGCAGATGAAAATAAGTAAAAAAGTTCGTATAAATATATGTCCTAAAATTACTAATTTTCGGAGATACAGGGTGTACAAGTTTCATTTTTATTTCGATTTTTTCCAAATAATTTCTGAAGTAACGTCAATATTTGGATGGAAATTAGTGTATGGAAGTTTTTTGACATGAGAAATTTGATTTTGACGTCAATATGACTCCTATTTGTAGGTGTCGCCACCTACATGTGTTTTAACTGATTCAAAAAGTAATAACTTAACGCCCGTACCTGTATAAAACTACTGAACGAAATAATAAATGTTTTTTTTTGTAAAAATCGCTACGAGCAACCCTTCTCAAGATATTTAGAAAGGAAATAGTTAATACATGTCATTATTAACAAATAATAAACATATTGAATAGATAGTTATTTCAGTGAAATGATAACTTTATTATTTTTTTTTAAATTAAACATAAATTTTTCTTCGAAGAATTGATGATAAATCAGTTTCTTCTGAACTTTTGACAATAAAAACATTTCAAATTTATGATTTCAGTCTAAAAAGTATTTTTACCAAGAGACCTTTTTTACGTAATAAACGTCGTAAATGTATATTTTTTACTCAGTAATTTTATGCAAGTACGGACGAAAAGTTCCACCTTACGGACGAAAAGTTCCACCTCAAACCAGTTAAAAAATATGTAGGTGGCGCCCTCTGGAAGTAGGAGTCAGAATTTTTTAGAATTTAGAATGAGTGGGAGGGGGGTTAATCACTTTAATCACACACAACTTTTACACCCTGTATCTCCGAAACTAAGCATTTTAGGACATAAGTTTATACAAACTTTTTTACTTATTTTTATTTGTGGAATATGCTGCCGAAGTTTTCGGAATACACTTCGGACCACCCTGTATATTTACGTATTTTATTTACCTTTGTCATTTGTTTCAGGCCAAACTACCACGTAGACGAAGGCATCTACGACTTGCTCATCAACAACGCCTCCTATGACAGAGATAACGGCAGGTTCGAGTGCAAAGTTAAAGCCGCAGGCTCGGGACAGGACTTGCACGTGCAAAAATACACCTTGACCGTCCTGGCACCTCCTCAGCCTCCTCAAATAGCTCCTGGGTCCATAGTGACAGTGACAGAAGGAAAAAGACAAGAGTTGACGTGCAGTAGTGTTGGGGGTTCCCCGGATCCTCAAGTTAGATGGTACAAGCAAGGTGAGTATTACACATTTCTATTTTTTTCTTTATTCCTGATAGTATTTTCAAAAAAAAATGAAAGAAATTTTGGCAAGTCCAAATATTATAATACAGGGTGTTCGTTAGTGACATGCTTATATTCTTGGACCTATTCTAAGAGAAAAACTTTATATGAATGTATGTCCTAAACATCTTAATTTCTGAGATACAGGGTGGTAAATTTTTATAAAAAAAACTTTGTTTTCATAATAACTTTGATTTTATTGTAGGTATCTTCACGAAACTTGATACACGTCTTCTATGCATCAAAATACCTTGTCTGGTGTACAAAGAATTTTATTTATTTCAACCAGTGCCGTGCCAAAAAGTGCTACACCCCCCACTGACTTTTCTTAAAATAAAAATTATTTTCACAATCTCCATGCATTTCTAAACATTTTTTGGGTGGCTCATCGAAAACGTTCCGCAAGGCATACCGCCCAGGGTAATTTTTTTTTCAGAAAATTCAAAAACACGTCAATTTTGTTTGTGAGGGGGACAACTTTTGCCCCAAAAACGATTGCAAAATCTTCAACCCTCTAAGCGGGGGTGTCTTCTCCCAATTTTTTTCAAATGAGAAGGGGGGGGTCAAGTGGTACCGCAGTGAAAAGAGCTTTCTATTCTCTATACTTTGCCGCTGCGTTTTTGAAAATCGGTCGGGTCATTGAGAAAATATGAAGGATTGAAATTTGAACATTTTATTTCAACATTTATCAGAGTAACGATAAGGATTGATTTATTATTCCATTTACTAGCAGACCTTGCAGTCCAACATTATGCTTTTTAGAATCTCTTTTAATGCGAAAAACTCATCGCAAGCTTAATCAAGTGACTAAAAGTTTATCTGGTATGAACCATAAATATCTATAATATTCAATATTCCTCTGTAAAAATTTATCACCTCTCAGTTTTGACTAGTATCATTTTCACTTTGACGTAACTAGTTGCATCCTTTCCAGAGATACACACACATATACATGATACAAAGGTGTCTCTGGCAAAGTAAAATCCTTCTTGCTCTATCTCCACGGACAATATACGTTTATATTTGTATACGGAGAAGATAGAGCATATAAAGCAAATGCAGAAATAAAAAGAGCACGACGAGCTGTGCGCCACTTACTCCTCCTGAGATGTAGAATCGCGAACGGTGTTCATTTTATTTTATTCCTTCGAATGTTTAAAGTGTACACAGAGCGGCGCGAGACAGATAGCGTGGAGCAAAGAAAAATCGGAAACGTCTCGATTTTGTATTTTTCGGTGTTTCGTTTATCTAGGAATTTCACTATTTCTCCGGCGATATTTGTAGATTTTTCAAAAGGGTTTGAAAAGTATACGTGATATATTTCTTTGTACTTGTATTACTAAAGGGGAATTTTGTATAAATCTCAACAATAATCTTCAAAAAAGTCCTATGGGTATTTCGTCAGTTGCATTGTAAGAAAATCTAGAAAATAAAATGGTTATTTTTGTAAACACTGCTGCGTTAATTCAACGGAGACTATTGTCAGCAGTGGTTTGGTTACTAATAAACAAATTTTCCTAACGAAGCAAAGAAAAAACACAAAGAACAAAGAAAAAAACTATTTAAAATATATAAGTACAACTATTCAAGAACACTTTAGTTTTTTTCAACAGATAACGTCTATAAAAACCGTTGACGTTCTGTTAATTAAAATGGCATTTTATCAAGTTAAACATCAAAATTAACAATTACTACCTGATGACAATTACTTAACCAGGTAAAACCAAAAAGTCTCAAAGTTTCTTTATGATTATTACTTAATTTGTTTTTAATTTTTACTTATGTTATGTTTATTTATTTTATATTAGTTCAGTCATTGCGGATTTTTGCTTGGAAAAAAGTCTGGAAGTTTTGAAACTTTGTAGGTTTATAGGTTTTGGGGTCCCTAACTAAAATCCATAAAATGCACATTTCCAGACTTGCCGCCGGCGCCGCCATCTTGCCAAGATGGCGCCCAAAATCGGTATTTTGTAAATATCTCGAAAACTATGCATTTTTCGCAAAAATTTGAGGAGAGCAAAATTAAAGAGAATAAAATTTTTTCTATATAAAGGTTCTATGAAAATTTTCGCTAAAGTCAATCGTTTAGGCCCAAAATCCCTGGAATTTTACAATTTTGCGTAAAATATGATATACCTATGTATAGTCGATTTTCCGAAATCAAATGCCGATTAGGGGTTCACTAAAACTAGTTTTAGTTTAGTTTCTTCAATTTTGTCATGAAAGAGTGGCGTATCAATAATTCGCTCATTCATTTATGAATAATTAATTTTAATTATTGAAAATGTTTGCTTGTTTCCACACACACCCAAGAGGTAAAGTACATGGCGCGCTTATTTTAACGTGGTCTCCCCTGAGGCCTACTTCACTAGGTAAATTAAAAACTTTAAATTATCTGCGCAAGTCTGACGGACTAGCTCATTGATGTCAAAGTCGATCGTGTCTGCTGTGCTAGGCTCATCAGAGTGGTCTCAATTTGTCCAACTCTTTATCTTAAGCCGCCAGAGGGATGATATCTACAAGCAAGTCCAACTCCTCTTCATCGGATTCGTCGAGTGACACTTCAGTGACGTTGTCACAGGATTTCCCATTGCAGTATGCACAAATCATTGAACATTTTAATCCTGCTTTTCTGCATCCGCAGGCTTTACCATAGTTGTTGGTTTTGCATTTACAGGATAAAAAATACCAATAGGGATTTTGGAGCTGGATCTGTCAACGTTGTGACCGGGTAATGCCTATTTTTGTTTTCTTCCAACCCTATTCTTCGGCATCTTTGGTAAAACCAGACCAATGCTGAACCTGGTGGTAAGTTCGCAATGAATGCTGTCCAGCACGACAATTAATTATTCATAAATTAATGAGCGAAATAATGATACGCCACTGTTTCATGACAAAATTGAAGAAACTAAACTAAAACTAGTTTTAGTGAACCCTAATCGACATTTGATTTCGGAAAATCGACTATACATATATCATATTCTACGCAAAATTGTAAAATTTCCAGGGATTTTGTGCTTAAACGGTTGGCTGTAGCGAAAATTTTCATAGAACTTTTTTATGGGAAATTTTATTCTCTTTATTTTTTCTCTCCTCAATTTTTTGTGAAAAACGCATAGTTTTCGAGATATTTACAAAATACCGATTTTGGGCGCCATCTTAAGGTGCGTATTCACTATCCGAACGAACGAACGAATATTCATTCGTTCGTTCGGTAGTAGTATGGACGGGACCGGATTTTAGAACCAAACGAAAACACCTTAACCCATTCGTTTGCGAACGCCTTTGATGTACCGATTCGAAACGGATGGCCGAGCGAACGAACAAACGAACGACCGCATGCGTTCGGTCCACCGTCCAAATATACCGAATTCCATTCGTTCGCTCGCTCGTTCGTTCGTTCGTTCGGATAATGAATACGCACCTTTAGGAAGATGGCAGCGCCGACGGCTAGTCTGGAAATGTGCATTTTATGGATTTTAGTTAGGGACCCCAAAACCTATAAACTTGTAAAGTTTCAAAACTTCCGGACTTTTTTCCAAGCAGACCCCTTTTTTCATCCCCAATGACTGAACTATATTCATTAAAATCAAAGAAGCGATAGCTATACAGTACTAACCTCTACAGATGTATGGACAATACATTTATTTATTTTAGACTGTATTGAAAAAGCCTCTTTTATTTTTCTTTAGAGGTTTCGCTTGTTTCATATTAATTTTTACGCTGTTAAAACCTATTTTGTTCCCTGTGTCCCATGAATGCTGACAAATTTTATATTTACGAAAATTACCCTTTCTAACTAAAAATTTAAACTGTATAATCTTTATGTTTTTTTTTATTTTTTTAAGAACAAACATAAAGAAGAAGAAAGAGCATAAAGAAAAAAAAAGAAATTTTTAAGAAAAAGCAAAAAAACGAATATCAATATAAAATTTATCACATTCACATGGAATTTTATATATCACATTTTTTGTTTGTTGTACAGTGTTAATTGGTTTAGTTTGGGTTAAAATGGATCTAAGTGTATTTTGTGTTTTGAAAGATGTTTGTATGTTATATTGTTTTCCTACCATTCTTATTTTTTCCGAAACACCTAGTATCTATGAAATTTTAAGTTGTATATATTGTGTATTATTGCCTATGGTTTGGGGTTTGCATTTAGCGTTTGTATTATTTGTTATAATGTTTTGTCAACAAAATATGATGGAAGGTAGTCGTCTTTTATTAATGTATTTTTGATTTCGTTTATATCTTCGAATTATTCTATTATTTTATTATTGTATTATTACACCGTGTTCCTAATAATTCTACTCTGTAACGTTTTTAGTTCGTTACATATGATGTCTGGCCTATCATCACCGGATTCCCTCTCGTTCAGGCCGGATAGTTTATTTGACGCGCTTGGCGTAATTTTTATGTTCTCTAGTCAGCAACCCTGCTATCGTTTCACTGTTCTGTGGAGCGCTGTCAACATCGCTTCAAGGCGCCTCTCCGTGCTTAACTTCACTTTGGCTTTGACCGTCCTACTGTCACCATCAAAAAATCCTTGCTTCGAGAAACTGCAATTATAAAAGTCTTGCTGTATAATTTGAATCAGCTGCTATTTCGAAGTTACAGGTAAAGATGAGATATTATCTTTATTTGATTCGTTATTATTACTGCGTATTTTTAGGGTAGAGTTACGGATGCCCCAACCTAACTTGTATTTGTATTTTGTTGGCACGTTGGCGTTCCTTTTCTTTTGTCCTCCAGAATGTCACATGGAAGAAAGGACAGGTTCTTTATTATTTAGTGCGCCCTCGGAAGTAATTCGAGGTAGGTTCATTTTGTTTATTAGACCTTGTTTGATTTTAAACAAGAGTTTCGTATTTTTAGGGTCTTAGGTTATGGTCCAAGGTACGGGTAGTGTTCCCTTGTACCATTATCATATGTCCTGTGGACGAGTGTCCCCAGT